ATATATAGATATATATATATATATATATATATATATATATATATATATATATATATATATATATATATATATATATATATATATATATATATATATATATATATATATATATATATATATATAGGGGGTGGTTCCTGTAAGAATGGTCCTTGTGGAGAGAAATGAGAATGATTTGGGATGGCTGGATTAAGTGCATCGGAGGGCTGGGAATGAATCTTAAAATCGGGTGTTAAATAAGGTGAGCAATATGCGTGGGTGCATTATTTTAGGTAAAAATCACTTAGAAGGGCAAATTTGTCAGACTGATTGCATTAAAAATCAGGAATCATGATACGCAATGATACGCCTGGTTATACGCAGCCCACTTTTCCCGCTTACCAAGCATGAAGCTGCAGAGCCAATAAACATTTAACTTTCTCCGTTCTTCCAAAGAGTACCATCCTCTAACGGCGAAAGAGAGTAGACGACGATGGCTACAAGTGGTATTGCGAAGAGGTTTGTGAAATTGAAGAGTTGTAAGAACACGGCGATGCATCCTGATGCTGAGTAATTAAAGTTGAGGCCGATGTTTTCAAGTTTCGTTTGGTTGTTTTTTTGGGTTTTTAGTGGATGGGATGCGTTGCATGTGTGTGTTAGTGTTACTTTTGCACTTTGTTTTGAATTTGGGAGGAAATTTGTTTTTTTAAGGAATAAGGGTTTGGAATTGGGTAAATTGAATTTTTTTTACGAATAAGGGCGTGAGGTCGAGAGGTGTGGATGCATTGTCTGCGAGTGCAATATGTTTGATTACGGGTGATGTTTGTGAATATAAGTATAACCATGTTTAATAGATTGTGTATGCAGAATGAGGGTGTTAGTGGGCTGTGCTTTTTTATTAGTTCATGGTTTGTTAATCTTTGGTGTAATTTGTTTGTTGCATTCCATCGGTCATGCCCCATGTGTTTGACAGAGTGTAGATGATGTTTTTGTAATTTACTTCAGAGGGGGGTGATGCATTGGTAAAGAGGCATGATGCTTTGGTTTTTTTATGTTTATGCGCATTGTGGATGGAGAGAAAGTGTGATGCTGTGTTTGATATAGAATGTGCATGATGTGTCAGTATCAGTGCATTCACTATGTGTGAAACATCAGTATGATTTTATGCATAGTATAGATGTTTAGATGGTTTATATTTTTTTAACGGGAATGTACTGATGTTGTTGTTGGAATTAGTGCGTTGTGTAAGTGGAGTTTGTTTTTTATGCAGTGCATGATGTATGTATCCAAGGTGTTTATGTTTTGTCTATGTTTGGATTTGGTTGTCTTAAGTGTTATTAATTTCTAATGAGTTATTCATATATTTGAAACTCAAATAGTGGGAGCTGGAAAAGAGGTGACTAGTGCAGGAAAAAATGAGGGGAGTAGAAGTGTTATTTCAGTGACATCGACAACACCAAGGCGGCGTAGTGGTAGGTTGATGAATGCGTTGCGGAAAATGCAAGGTAACAGGTCACCTGTGCATTTGAATATCGATGAAAACGACGATGAAACGAATAAAGATGATACGGAAATAGCTGATGAAGACGAAGATGAGTCAAAGGATTACAATGAGGGCTCGGGTGGAGAGTCGGATGAGGATGTAGTTTATGAAGAGCTGGAAGAAGAATGTAATGGGGAGGGTGGCAGCGAGGAGGATGAGAGTGAAGGCACATGGACAAAGCTATAGATGAAGATGACAGTGATGAGGCTTTTGAAAATCCCCCGCCCAAACATGTAACGAAAACATCCAAGAGAAAGCCAAGGGTGAAGTTGGTGGATTTTAAAGCTCCATACCAGAGACTAACATCCAGGTCATCACCCCATTTAATAACGACAGCTTTGAAACAACTCAATGATGTGCAGCGTGCAGTAGTAGTGCGAATTGGTTTTGGGGCTTTGTTGGGAATGAACATCCTTGAGTTACCAGCGAGGTTGGGATATTGGTTGGTCAATAATTTTGATGCTCGTAGCTGCAGTTTGGTACTGCCAGGGGGTGCAAAGTTGCACATCACGTCGAGTGATGTGCACAATGTTTTGGGGTTGCCTTGTGAAGGTTTGAAAATTGAGAATAATAAGAGCAATAGGGACACTAATTTACTGAAGCAGTGGAGACTCCAGTTTGGGAGTAGTAAAACAAGGATAACACCATCTGAATTGGTGGAAAAGATGCTAAGCTGTACGGACGGAGGAGATTGGTTTATAAGGCATTTTGTGTTGATGGTTATGACGGTCATGGTGGATAGCACCTCACATGGATACACCAATACTTTGGTAATGGACCATTTAAGAGACGTGGACTGAGTGGCACGGATGAATTGGTGTGAATATGTTTTGGATAAATTGATTGACAACAAGCTGAAGTGGGATAAAAGTAACCGAAAGATCTATTGTGGACCACTCCTTGTATTGATGGTATGAGTTATTTACATTTGTATACACTTTGTTGTTAATATTATGCATCTTCTGACTTTTTAGTATACAGGTTTTTTATATTGATCGTGTTGGTATATTCACAAAAAGAGTGGCGAGAAAATTTCCTGCGCTACAGGGATGGACTGGGAAGGAGCTACGGGAGAGGGAGAATGAAGAAGTTAGAAGTGGTGGGTTTGGAGCAGGGCATGACTGTGGGCCTTTGGATAAAGTCAAGCGGATAGAGTTGAGTGAGATGTCTGAGCGTAATGCTGCACCAACAACGCTTGGTGTTGGTGATTCATCTGCAGTGCATTCAAGCGATGAACAAGATTTGAAGGTAACTTATGTCCAATATGTATTTTGCATTTTTTTAATTTAAGAGCGGTGGTGCGTGGGTGTAAATGATAAGAGTAGATGTTTGTTCTCATTCATTTAGGTGCTTGTGAGGGAATTTGCGGCCAAAAGCAAGATCCTAGCAAGCACGATAATTGACATGATAACAATGGTTCAGGAAGCACCAAAGGAACTATCGGGATGTGAAAATTTTTGTAATTTAAGAGATTTGGGAAACAAGTTGATTGGTGTCACTCCCAAGTGCTCTAGTGAAAAAAAATCGAAATGGAATGCAATACCGGGTCTAGATGATGACAGCTTCTGGAGCAGCCCAGAATTATTGTCAGCAGCCGATGAGATGGAAAAGGCCGTTGTGCTGAGATCTAAATATGAAGAACAGCTTAACGATATGCCATCCTTTAGCCTTGGATTTACGCAGATACTGGACGGCATGGAGATAGTAGGCCATGACACAAACATGGTGAATTCTACTGCTGAAAAAAAACTGATATTGCTCCAGAGTCAGCTGTGCAAGTAACTGGTGAGGGTGATGGAGATGCAACCAACAACGGCTTGGAAACGAATAACCAGGTTAATGTACATACATGGCCAATGTTAGACTGCACCACAAGCTGTGTATTATGTATCATGTATGTTTATAAATGTGGTGTGATGCAGGTTGCTAGAGGAGGGCAAAGTGGCAATGGAGGGATGGACAGTGAGAAGAGAAGCAGAATGGAAGAGGTGGTATGTGTGTAATTAGTAGTTGTAGATACTAAAAATTTTAGATGTTTTGGTTTTTTAAGAATTTATTCGCATGTGTTTAAGCAGGGTGCGAGGAACCTAAATATAGGGGTGCAGGACAACAATGAAGTTAGGGAGCAGCATGTATTAGAGGGGATGGAGAGTGTTGGGCAGGATATGAATGTGGAGAATATCTGTAAACAAATTACTTCTGAAGGTGCTCCAATGTCTGAAGAGGATGTCAACTCTGAGAAAACAAAAGGGACGAATGATGATGTCCATCTGCGTAATGATCAGGTCTTCATCACAATTTTCCATCATGCGTAGTTTCATATTGAATATTGATCATAATGTGTTGAGTAAATGATGTGGTGCAGATTGAAAAGGAAGTGAGAAACAGAAAGGCTGCCAGAAATTTAGTAAAGAAAAGAAAGAATGAAGAGCAGGTATGAGTGAGTTAGTAAAAAGTGAAAGATGTCGCAATGGTTGTGCATTCTGCTAGAGTTTTTTTTATTCTTTATTAATTTTTTTACTTTGAGATTAGAGTGCTCAGATTTTTCGCGATGAGGATGAGAGGGTCAAGAGGAAAGCAAAATCAGCAGGGATTATGAAGTCACCTTACGTTGCACGTGCAGTGGACCCAAGAGATAACCTGAGCAGTGTCGAATCTCGTATCTAGAAGTGGTTGATGAAAACTAAAGATGCCTCAAGGTATGTGGATATGGTATTACAGAGTTGCGTGCTATTTAAATTTAAATGCATTTAATTCTTTCGATCTTGAACGTTTCACTTAATTCGTGACTAGGGATGAAATAGTTTATAAGTGTGGCAATGTGGTATTGGATCGTGGGGATCTGATGACATTAAATGCTGGTGAACACATTTCGCCAAGAGTCATCGATGCATGGTCTACAATCATGAATCATAAGGAAGTATACCGTAGCATTGGGTCGCCTTCTAGATTCTTTGCCAAAGGAATGAAATGTGTAAGAGTTTGTGTTTCATTTGAAAATAAAATGTTTTTTTACTGTGAGACACTTACATTGTGTGTGTTACAGCTATACACATCTGAGGGTGATATCCCAGACGAAGATACTGCGTTTAAGTTGTTTTGTGATGCATTGGAGTCTGGTAACACATGCACATCCCCATTTAGTGCGGATATGGTAATGTTATTGTTTATCGGTTTTGTTAATCTTCCTTGATTTGATAGCCATAGTGTTTTAGAATACGATCAAGATATGCATAATATATGGTTTTTGTGCTTGGCAGATTTTCTTTCCAATAATGCAGTTGAAGTGGTGTTATTGTGTTTGTGTGAACATCAAGGCTATGAAGGTTGAACTTTTGGATCTTTCCTCGTCGTCGGCAAAAGCAGATGATAAGTATGAAGGAATGCCAACTAACGTTGTAAGTTTAAATAAATTGTAGTGATTGCTTTCGAATTATATTTTTAAATAAATGTTTACCAGCCATCTGTTGTGATACCTACTGCAGCTTGACATGATTGTGAAGTATTTTAGCAATCAAGGATTGGAAGGGAAGGTTGGGAAGGTGTGTTCCCAGAAACCAACGCGTTTGAAGATGTCGTGGAGGGATGTCACATCTGTTTATGAGTATGGTGTGGCAACAATGCGGCACATGGAGACATACATGGGCCGAGGTTTAGAGGGATGGGACTGTGGTTTATCCAAGGAAGACCGGAAGGCAGTGAACACCCTTAGGTCCAAGTATTGTGCTTGCATATCAGTTGCCGAAGTGAATGAAATGAAGGAAGTGAATTTGAAGAATTCAAAGGACTTCATGAAGGGGTGAACATTATGTGGTTTGTTATGTTTGGTTTTTTTGCTATGATGATGGTCAGAAACAAATGCGTGGTTGGCCTTATGTAACTTTTATTGCAGTGTATTTCGTTTATTGTGTCGGTCGTTTTATGTTTGAATTTTTTATGGCAATATGGTTTGAATGTGACGGTTTGATTTTTGTTGACGGTTTGTTTTTGTATGTTGAAACATTTGGGATGCTGTCATTTTGTGCTGCCTAGTAAAAATTTTGGAAATTATAAAAGTTTTTTTTATTCTATAACGGTGCAGTGTGTTACTTTTGGAAATGCATTTACTTAACTTATACAGGCATGGGAAGAATGTAAGAATTCAGGTTTAAAGAAATAAATTCTAGTGATGTTGGAAAATGCTAGTATGGTTGTATTATTGTTAATTGGACCAGGGTGGTAATTTGATCATCCCTCCATTGGGGTAATGCATATGTTTGATGTTAGCATGCATGTGCAGAAATTTATAAAGCAGTTTTGACCCTTTTATCCCATAGGACATGATGGCCGTTATTTATTATTTGGAAACATGAACATTTTAAAAATGAACCCTGGACCATTTTCTATCTTAATGATCATCAGGTAGTGCATGATAATGTCATGTTGTTGCATCAGCTCACGTGTGGTAGGATATGTCATGAGTGGATTATTTTACCTTGAACATGAATGGTAAAAATAAGAGAATTCATTTATAAAGAAGTGAAATGGTGATGTGGTTGTAAAGTATGTATATGAGTACATGGTTGCTTTTCCCGGAGTGTTTGCACTGTTTGGACTCGTTAAGTTAATGCATATATTCAAAGTCATCATGCGTGGGTGTGGTAAGCCTCTATTCCAAGGACATTGAGTGTGTGGTAAGCCTTGATAGTTTGGAAGCAGGACCAATAAAATAATGAATTTGAGAGATTTTTTTTCTCTTAATGTTCATCATGTTGATCGTAATAAGGTCTGTTTGTTGCATCACCACAAATGACGGTAGATTTAATACGTGACACGTCGTTGTGTTTTGCCGACGTTTTTAATAAGGGGTATGCTCTGCATAAACGGGAATCATAAAAAGATGTTGTCAATTGTAGATTGGAATAGATTACTTAAAGCATTGAGGGAGAGAAAAATACAAAAGTAAAAGCACCACGTTGGGTTAGCAATTGCAAAGCTGTTAATTCAACCCACACGACGTATTGAGAGCGTAATGAAAGTTAGAATAAAGGAAATAAAATTAAGAACATTACAAATAAAGTCTAATGCAATCACCCTGAAATGTTTTTGGGGAAATTCCTACTGTCATGATACCCAAGTTGCTGACATTTTCTGCACATTCGTTTATTCTTCTTTGATTGTTCAATGCTAAACTCTTTTGCACTTTTGATTCTCTTGCCACTTCCCTTGTTGTGTACAGGTTTAGTGGTAGTACTGTTATATTGGCCGGGGCAGGTACTCCATAATAACATTCAAAGATGGTGTTCTGAGTATTTACAACACCCGACCGTAGCGCGGTTTCGAGGATGTCCTTCTGTTGACGGATAATCTTTGAAAATCCACCCAACAAATCTGGCTTTTGCTCAACGGCAAAAACACAGAAGAAAAGATCTGACCACAAGCGGTTTAATGCAATTTTCTTTTCTTCAACAGCGGATAGAGCTTCAAAATCTGCATCGGGCACATCATACATGGGCTTAATAAATCTGGTTTTACACCACCTGCTCGTAATGTACATGTCGGGGATCTGGCGGATGTTCTCATCTTTGAAAACTAGGAAAATATGTCTGCACAGTAGACCCCGTTGGAGGTAATGTTTACAGGTGCAGCAATGCGGGAGAATTGAACTTTGAAACTCTTGCCCCTTTTTTCCTTAATTAAATATTGCACCTGTTGGCCATCTAATCTAGTTCATCGACATGAAGTACACGGCAAGAAAAGCAAGCTTCGGATATCTCCATTTGTACCTCGTAGAAAATTGTTATTGTGTAAACAGATGCTGCGTGGTGCTCAATGTCCAGCGGAGTCTTGAATTCAGGGTAACAAGCTTCATCATCAGCATTCAAGTCAGCATTTTTATGCCGTTGAGAGTCCATAGCACTTTCAAACTGCATAAGAAGTTCTACAAGGCTAAAATTCTGTCCTGTGAAATCGTCAAAGAAGCTGTTTTCACTTTCTGACCGTGATGTGGTGCGTAATAAGCCACCCATGAACAGATCTTTGTAGTACGCGGGGATCCAAGAGAAACGTATTTCAAATAGTTTTTGAAACCATTTATGATTGTCTAAATTATACGCAGCCATCAGATCATGCCAATTCTTTTCAAAATCTATAGGCTCAAGATAAGGACTCCAAAAAATTGCATTCAATTTTGTCAGAAACTCTGAATGTTTAGCCAACTCGTCATCCACTTTACCACCAACTTTTTTCATTATATGCCACATACAATACCGGTGTGAAGTTTGGGGAAATACCTTTTGGGCTGCACCTCGCAATGAAGGATCTTGGTCAGTGATGATGCACTTCGGGGAATTTCCCATAGCATTTAAGAAACAACGAAATAGCCATGAATATGACTCGTCATCCTCCCTAGTTAGCAAACCAGCCCCAAAAGTAATGCACTTACAGTGATTGTCTACGCCCGTGAATGGAGCGAAAATCATATTGTATCTGCATAAATGGAGGACATGTGATTCAAACATGAAAGTGTAAGACAATTGAGCAATGGTGTAAACATTGAAAGAACATAAAGGTCTTGCTACTGTGCAGCCATGACCAGGATACCTGTTTGTCTCGTAAGTTGCATCGAATGAGACAACATCCCCGAACAACGAATAATTCTTCCTAGCAACGGGGTCACACCAGAATAGCCTTGTAAGTTGGTCACTTTCATCGACATCATACTCAAAGAAAAATGCAGAACATGTTTCGTGCTTCCTGAAAAGCTTGTCAATGACCATTTGTGCATCACCACCAGCTATGTAAGCTTTAAGATCTCGCTTAAAGTTCTTGAAATCCACTGCGGTAGCTCCAATGTTGTCATACCCACCTACAGATTCTTTAAACAGGCGGTAAGACTTCATTGTACCAATATTGGCCTTTGCACAATTCAAGATAAATTTCTTGTGTCCAATGTCAAGATTCCTATTCAGTTTCAAAAATGGCCTACAGGGAGCGGACAGCATATGGTGATTGTGGTGTTCTTCGAAAAATACAATGGAATATCCAACATTGCCAGATAGTCTCAATGTCACTCGTGCCTTGCATCCAATACGGTTTGAGATGCATCTCCTCTTTTTTTTGGGAATAGGGTCTGAATCTTCACGGTCTTGTGCTAGTGGCCTGGGCATGGAAGAAACATTTTTTCGACCCTCCCGGTTGCAAACAACATACTGCCAAACAATAACACCATCCCGTGACTTCGTTGAAGTGCTTTTCCGTGTGTCAAAACCAACCAACGCTGCATAATTATTGTAGAATGCAATTCCATCTTCTATAATTAGAAAAAGCATACCGACCCTAGGTTTGGACTCGTCTGGACATGGTGGAGCAAATCCCTGTTCCGGAAATGGTTGGTCTGTTTGCATTGATGAACCATCATCTGTGGGTGGTGTAGAAAAAAAACATAAGCACAGCGAATTGAAAAACTGCATTTTCAAATGGATGGGATCCCTAGCACTGGATAAAACGAAATTGAAAATGATGAAAACAACTTAACTGTGAAGAATTGAAAAAATACCTGAATCCATGGAAAAATTGGATGTGTAAACGGTGAATAGAAACTGAGAAACAATCGGACCAATGGAAACGAAAAGTGCAGTGAGGATTCTGGCAGATATCGTAGGGATGAAGATCGAAGATCTCTCCATTTCAACAAAGAAAGAGAGAACGTGGTTGATTCGGTGGGAGAGAAATCCGGAGTTTACTTCTGAACATGGGAGAGAAATGTGGAAAGAAAATTCATCGGGCCTGCTATTATCGAATGGGAACTGCGTATAGTTAATAAATTGTGAGGAAAATACTAAAAAGCCCTCTTGCGATAGTTCAGGCAGGTACAGATTGGACGCACCGTATTCATTCTCATTTCTTTCCTAAGATCTCATTCTCACAGGAACCAAAATCTATATATATATATGTAAAATAAATTAAAGTTTAGTTGTTGTAGTGTTGACATGGGGCATGCCACATGTGCATCCACATGTGCACTCATTTATGAAGTGGATATATGCATTGCACCCATTTTAAATATCTTTTAATACGTTTGTATAAAATTTTTCATTTTCTTTATTTCTAAAAATATATATTTCACCATAGTAAAATATATTCCGTATTTTGAATAGACACACACACACACACGCATAAAATTATTTTTATACAATCCACAACTTATTTTAGTGTATTACTTCTCAAAAAATGATTGTATAATTTTTTTACATGTGCATATTTATTAATTAAATACTTTGTTCCAAAAACTTTATCTTACTACATTATTTATTTTATTGCTACATATATTTTTCAACAAAGTGAATAGAATAAAGTTGGTTTAATTAAAGGATGACAACTGACAAGTGACATTGTGACACATATATATTCTCTAATGATGTATCATTAAGCATGTAACTAATCCACTTTTTATTATAATATTTTATTAATTCAAACCATTTCTATTACTAATTAATTCAATGACCATTAATTTTGTATAATTTTTTGTTTTTAAATTAACATACCAATATATATTCCATCAGTATAAAACATATTTTGTCACTATTAGAAAACTAAAACAACTAAAATTATATTTATAAAATCTCAAAAGTTTAGAATACATAGGAGCCCGTGTGAAGCACGGGGTAAACACTAGTTTTTACTTTTATAAAAGAGATGCAAGAAAAATGCATGTATTTAATATTCAATCTTTACGTTGGTCAAGCTTATTAATAAATTCTAGTTATTGAAAAATGATCGTGCTTTATATATTCTTTACCTATAAAAGTTCTTTTATACATAAAAAGGAATATATATTAAAAATAAGAAAACATTATTTGTGCATTTTATTATCCTATATTTTCTACCATGTCATCAAGCTCCATGTTCAGGTTGTATATACGTAGCAAGACTAGCAACTATTTATGAAGTAATTAGTTTTATCTTTAATGTTGTGAAATGAACAATATAATTAGTTTATGAAATATTTAATAATTTAATGTGAAATGCCCTAAGTTACTAAAAAATAACGGAGCTGCAATATTTGTTAGAGTATATAACAATCATTTCTGGGCCACAACCACAAGCTTGAGCTTTTGGTTGAGTTGGTTCCTTGACATGGTATCAGAGCCTTGATGACCAAGAGGTCACGAGTTCGAAACTCACCGCCACCCAATTTAAAAAAATTAAGGTTTCACGTGCAAGGCCTAAAGAGCTTACCCCTGCACGTGAGGGGCGTGTTAGAGTATATAACAATCATTCCTAGGCCATGATGGGAAATAATACGTGGCTCGGCCCACATTTCCCAATTATTTATGAAAAACGGTCAAACCAGGCCTGTTTAATAAAATGGAGGAATAAGAGAATATTCCTCCATAGATGCTCCAGCTACTCCTATAAAAGGAGGGCACCCCCTCAATGTTAAGGGAGGCCATTCTTACATTCTTCTCCCTGCCCATTACATTCTCTTTCTAGAATTCTTGTATTTTCATTCTTCAAGAAGCTTTGAAGCTTCCATTAACGGCTTCTACGCCTAAATTATGTACCGTGTATACACCCCCGATATTAATAAAAATCCCCCGTTGGCAAGGTACCGCCAAAAAAGGCCCGTGGTTTTCTCCCGATTTGGGTACGTCAAAATCCCCGTGTTTATATTTTGGTGTATTTTTAGACTAGTTTATCGTTTTAGCCGGGCTAAAAACGGTATACCGGTCGATAATTTACACCATCATTTTGGCGCCGACCGTGGGACCCGAACAAAATGTTGTGTTTTTTGTTCGGCCAATTTTTTCTCTTACCACACGAAGTGAGCAAAAATAAAAAATAAAAGGGAGAGAGCCATTTGTACAAAAAAAAGAGAGGAAGAGAGATGCTGGGGAAGGAACAAAAAAGATAAGGGAAGAAAAGGGGGAAAAATTGGGGGCTTTCCTTCAAAAATCCAAAATGGCAAAGAGAAGCCGCCGCCGACAAAGAGAAGCCGCCGCTGCACGATCTTGTTAAATTGCCGACCTCCACCAATTCGGCCAGCCATATCACAAAAATCGCCGGCCTCCACCCTTTGGCTTTGCCGTCACCATTGACGTTGCATGAAGCTACTGCTGAAATTGCAAGGCCGCCAAGATCGTCTTCATCACTAAAGCACTCACTGCCATCGCCCTTGATCGCAGCCCAATTTCTAGAGACGATTTGCATACTCCGTTAAAAAAATGGAGGAAAGAATGGAAGGAAGGAATGATCGGGGATCACCCATGTCCGAGAAGTCGCGCACTAGCCGAGATAAGCGCCATCTTCAATTCCGTCCGTCGCCACAGCGATGTGATCCGCCTCTGGAGGACTTCGTCTAGACTTGCCATCGCTGCTCAAACCCGCCGCAATCACCACCACAATCAACACCAAGACACCGCTGAGGTGATGCCGGAGCAGAAAAAGAGTTGTACCGGCCCAATAGATGGATTTCCGGCAGTGGATCCGATCCACCCTCACCTGAAATCAGCTTTATTATGGGAAGAGATTACTCGTCATTTTTACTAAAATCTGTCATCGGCTCTAGGCGAATATCCATGCGCCCATACTCTCATTGAGGTCCGCCGCTGGTATCGGAGCTAAGGCTCTCAAAAACCTAGCCTCTCTCTTTTTTTCCGACTACCGCCCACCATGGCAGCCCCGTCGGATCCTTTGGCTTCCTTACCCTCTGGAGTAAAACTTTTGCTTCGGAGTCTCCACAACTTAATCCCAGAAAAACTCACCGAAACAAATTATCCGGCATGGTCTCTCAATGTCCAGACAGCTCTTTCAGCTAATCTCCTCCTTGGATGGATTGATGGTCATGAAGCAGCCCCAGCACCAACTATCTCCAAAAACGATAAAACTGTCCCTAATCCAGAGTATACCTCCTGGACCATCGTTGACACACAGATCCGCGCCTGCCTCCTAGCGGTCATCAGCCCCTCCGTTCACAAACATGCTTGCGGCTTCACCACATCTGCTGCCCTCTGGGATGCTTTGGCCGCATGGTACAATTCCGTGTCCACCGCTCATATTTATCAAATCCGGGACAAACTCCACACTCTTCGTAAAGGCACCAAAACTATAACACAATACCTTGATGATGTGGCCACTATTCTCTCGGATCTCGATGCCTTGAAATAAGAGGTCTCCGAACGTGATGTGGTGAATGCTGTTATTCGTGGTCTTCTCACCGAATACTCATCCTTTAAGCAAAACATTCGCATGAACAATACCAATATTTCGTTAAATCAGCTTTCTGGATGGCTGATCTCTGAAGAAATAAACCTGGAGATGGAGAATAAACTCAGCCTCACCGAGTCTACCATCACCAAACCTCGCACAGCACTTCTCGCTACAAACGGTCGAGGTCGCGGTAGAGGAGGCTACTGCGGTCGACCGTCTCCTGGACGTGGATACAACAGCGGACGTGGCGAAAGGAACAACGGTCGATCGTCCTAGGGCAACGGTCGACCGTCATGGGATCTGCCAATCTGCAAAATCTGCGAGAAACGAGGCCACTCTACGTCTACGTGCTGGTATCGGTTTGATGATTCTTATGCTACGAACTCCCCCTCTAGTGCTCCCCGTGCAATGCATGCATCTACGAGTAATCATTTTGGAAACTGGTATCTGGACACTGGTGCCAACACCCATGTCACGTCTGATTATTCTCAGCTACAATCTCCTCATCAATACACTAGTACTGATACTATTACCGTAGGCAATGGTCAATCCCTACCCATCACACACTCTGGCTCCGGTTTTGTCCATATGCCTAATGGTAAATACCACCTTTCTACTCTTCATTATGTCCATTCCCTTACCTCCAATCTATTTTCTGTCCATCGATTTACCAAAGATAACAACTGCACTCTTGTTTTTAATGCCAATGATTTCCAGATAGTGGACAATACTACCAACCAGGTGCGGTACAAGGACCTGTGTGAGCATGTGTTATACACACTTCCTTCCAAACTCCCAACCATTGCGTATCAAGTTATCCAAGAGTCCACTTGGCATCGTAGACTTGGTCATCCGGCTCCTGCGATTGCCAAATCTATTTTGTCTTCCTTAGGTTTTCAGTTTTCAGAACCTTTACATTGTGAATCATGTTATGTCTCCAAGTCCTGTCGTTTACCTTTTGAATTGTCTGAACATAAGGCCACATCGCCTTTTCAATTAATACATTCTGATGTTTGGGGTCTCACTTCTGTTCCTTCCTGTAGTGGCTTTCGATTTTATATCTCTTTCGTTGATGATTTCAGCAAATTTACCTGGATTTATCCCCTAAAACATAAATCTGAAGCTTACTCTGTTTTTGTGACTTTTGAAAAAATGATTAAGACTCAGTTTAATTCTCACATCAAAATTTTTCGAAGCGATAATGGCCAAGAATTTGTAAATAATGCTTTTGGCCTTTTCCTTCAAACTCTAGGAGTCCTTCATCACACCTCTTGTCCCTACACTCCTGAGCAAAATGGGGTCGCTGAACAGAAACACCGTCATCTCATTGAAACGGTTGTTTCTCTTCTATACGACTCTGCTCTCCCGACTAACTTTTGGGTCGAAGCTCTTGCCACAGCAAACTATCTTATCAACCGTATGCCCACCAAAACTCTCTCTAACAAATCTCCATTTGAAACCCTCTATAACCGTCCTCCTAGATATACCCACCTTCGTCCCTATGGTTGCTTGGTCTATCCATGGCTCCGCCCTTACACTCACCACGAACTTCAACCATGCTCCACTCCCTGCGTCTTCTTAGGATATCACCCCACCACTAAAGGGTATAAATGCTATGAACCCGTGTCTCAAAAAGTTTATGTCTCTCGTCATGTTCGGTTCGTCGAGGATCAGTTTCCATATCCCAAATTGTCATCTCTCCCGTCATCCTCTCATATAACCCCTATTTTTCCGCCAAACCCAGGCTCACATGCTCTTGTCCCACCGACGGTCCAAACCCAGACCCATCCCACCAGTCACGGACGACCGCCCGACACCCTTCCTCTAGACCCGCCACAAACGGTCCAACCCCAGAACCGTACCCTACCCACACTCGACCGTCACCTACTCCTCCCTCTGATTCCCTTTAGACGGCTAACCGACCCCCACCCCAAAACACACACACCATGCAAACCCGAGCAAAATCTGGAATTTTCAAACCTAAGGCCTATACCATTACCACCCTTGATAATACCCCACCTTCCACTGAGCCTAGCACTTACCGCCAAGCCTCTGGTAATAGTTTTTGGTGTCAGGCTATGAATGAGGAGTTTATTGCTTTGAATGAGCATCGTACATGGGACTTGGTCCCACCACCCAAGAACCGCTCTCCGATTGGTTGCAAATGGGTGTATCGCATTAAATGGAATGCTGATGGATCTGTTTCAAGGTATAAGGCTTGTCTTGTTGCCAAAGGTTATCATCAGGAGTATGACATTGATTACAAGGAGACATTCAGTCCTGTGGTCAAACAACAAACTGTGCGCCTGGTCCTCTCTTTAGCACTCAACCGTGATTGGCCTCTTCATCAACTGATGTTAGCAATGCCTTTCTTCACGGTACGGTGGACAAGGAAATTTATATGGAGCAGCCTCCGGGGTACATAAATCCCAATCATCCCCACCATGTTTGCAAGCTCCGTAAGTCACTATATGGTCTCAAACAGGCACCCCGTGCTTGGTACACACGCCTCTCCTCTTTTTTGCAGGGCCTTGGATTCCAGTGCTGCATTCATGATACCAGCTTGTTCACCAGACACTGCTCTCGTGGAACTATTATTGTCCTTGACTATGTTGATGATATTGTTCTCACTGGCAGCTCTTCTATTCTCATCTCAGAAGTCACTCAGGCTATGCATCGTGACTTCAAGCTCAAAGAACTTGGACCTCTTCATTACTTCCTTGGCATTGAGGTTCAGCGCACGCACGATTCTATGCTTCTCCATCAGTCCAAATATGCCCGTGATCTTCTACGCCGAGCAGGGATGTCTGACTGTCATCTGGCTATTACTCCTATGGCTACGCGACCTATCACTAAGCCTTCGTTTCCTTTCAAGGATATATCTCATTTTCGGAGCATTGTTGGCGGTTCACATTACCTGGCTGTCACCCGTCCAGACATTCAGTATGCTGTTAATCGAGTGTCTCAGACTATGCACAACCCCACTGAGTAGGACTATCATGCCTTACAACGTGTTCTGCGCTATCTCAAAGGCACTTTGCATCGTGGTCTTCTTTTTCGCAAGAGGGGATTCGACCTATCTGTCTATTCTGACTCTGACTGGGCAAATGATAAAGATGATTGCAAGTCTACCACGGGCTACATCCTCCTACTCGGTCCTAATCTCATCTCTTGGTGCATGAAAAAGCAGACTCGTGTTTCTAGATCATCCACTGAAGCTGAATATCGAGCTATGGCTGCGGGGGTTGCAGAAGCTATGTGGCTTCGATATATCACTGATGCACTGGGTATTCCTCCATCCAAGTCGAAGTTATACTGTGACAATGAATCAACTATCTGTGTCACCAAAAATCCGGTTCTTCATAGGTGTACAAACATCATCCCAGTTGATAGGAGGGATTTTCCTTTGATCAATATTGCCTCCCCAGAGGAAATTTCTACAAATTCTTTGTATATGGTAAATAACATCTTTGTATACGTGGCTCGGCCCACATTTCCCAATTATTTACGAAGAACAGTCAAACCGAACTTGTTTAATAAAATGGAATAATAAGAGAATATTCTCTGAATATTCTTTCCTCCTTCCCTATAAAAGGAGGGTTTCCCTAATGGTTAAGGGGAGGCCAATTTACATTCTTCACTCCTTCACTGCTCAAATTTCTCTCTCTCTCTCTCTCTCTCTCTCTCTCTCTCTAGAAAGCATTAGTGTGTATATTTTTTCTCCTTCTTCAAGAGCTCAAAAGCTCCATTAATGGCTTTCTAGCCTAAATCATGTACCGTGTACACACCCCCGATATCAATAAAAATCTCTCGTTGGCAAGATACCGCCAAAAAAGGCCCGTGGGTTTCTCCCGATTTAGGTTTCTACGTTAAAATTCCCGTGTTTATATTTTGGTGTATTTTTTAGACTAGTTTATTTTTTTTGCTTGGCTAAAAACGATATACCGGTCAATAATTTACACCATCAACAACAATTAAACTAAAAGAATATTAAAAATGAACGAACTTATACAATTACAATCACGTTCATATCCATTCATTTTTTGAGAAACTCTTACGTGATCCTAAAGTCCATACTAATTTTATAGACCTTAATGCATTGGTATCATAAAAGATTAGGCATTTTGCCAAAAAAATCACCTGCTAGCCCATAAAATATGTGAGACAATCCATATATTACATGTGAACTATAAGACCACGAAAGAATAAGACCCCTGTGGTTTGGAAAAATAGCACAAATACCCCTCTGTTTCCAAAATTTATTTTAAAGTCCCCGTGGTTTCAAAACGATGCACCCACACCCCCTCTAATCATTTTCCGGCGATTTTTCTGACGAAGAGGGGGCATTGTCACATAATTTGTAAATCATAGGGGGCATTCGTGCTCATTTCTTATTTTTCATTTATTATTTGTATTTTCCCCTTTTTAAATATTTTCTATCTCTTTTTCCTTTTCCTATAAATTTTTTAAAAATTTATTTTCAATTTTATATAATATTTTAAAAACTTTAAATATTTTTGTGTTTGAAATTAAAAAAAACTAACATATATTACATCTATCTCAAATTAAACATTTTCACTTTTTGTTACTTAGAATATTTTTCTGGAAAGATCAAAAAGAAAATCCAATATAAAAAATTTAAAATATTGAAAAACGAAATGAAAAAAATAAAATACTCAAAAAAAAGTCTTATACAAAAAAATTGGACACACGTAAAAAGCCCTTAGAATTGAGATGTCCAAAAAGAATATTCATTTTTAATTTTGTATTATTTTGTTTCTTATTTTATTCCTCATTCTTTTGAAGTTCTTAAAAACTTTTACTTTTTTTTCAGAAAAAACAAAAATTGTTAATTTGAGACATACATATGCATTACATTTTAATTTTTTCAAATAAAAATAACTCTAAATTTCAAGAACATTATAAAAATAATTTTAAAAAAACTTTATTAATATATGAAACAATTTAAGGAAAAAAATGGGAAAAAAAGATAAGCGAGAAATAAAAATCAATGCTGATACCCCCTATGGTTTAGAAAATATACACCAATGCCCCCCTTCTTCGCCGGAAAAATGGTAGAAAAATTATCAGAGGGGGCTTGGGTGGAACATTTTAAAACCACAAGGACTTTAGAAATAAGTTTTGAAAGCAAAGAGGATATTTGTGCATATTTTGCAAACCATGAGGGGTACTAGTGCTATTTAGCCGAAAGAATAATCTTCATTTATAACTATACCCATAAAATTGACTTACTCTATTAACTTACTCCGTATTAAGTATAATATCTTTTGAGTTAATGTCTAGTTTTATGTTGTTACCTTAAAAGTTTCGATAATTAATTAAGGTTGAGGACAAAAAAGCCTATACATTGAGAGTTTGACAAGTATATGTAAATCCCTCTCAAGTCTCAATTTACTTGTAACTCATAAAAGTGTCTCAATTGCATATCAACACCAAATGGAAAACGCCTTCGTCTGTATCCTTTCATTGCTTCTTTTTCTTGTAGTCCCCTCTCATGGTATGTGTATGGCTTCTAATTTATGGAGTCAAATTAATTACTCTTTCTTCCCCAAATTAAGTTATTTGTTTATTTTTGTTGAGTCAAATTTTATCAATTTTTCCTTTTTTTATTATTAATTTGATAAAATAATAAAAATAGTCATGTTATTTCTTGTTTTTTTACAATTATTAAGTTAGTTTTTTAATTTTTAATATGTAAATATTATTATTAAATTTTTCTTTGATTCTAAAATAAATGGTATTGAAAATGGGGGTAATCTTACACCAATTTCATAGTGTGAGATTGTTATAGCAATGAGAGGTGCTAGAGTCACAAACACCTTGATCACAAAATACACAACCTTGCCATTTGTGTATTTAAATGCTTACTTTTTAATTATTTAACATTATTTAATTCACTTAGTGAGGTACACAAATAGCAAGGTTGTGTATTTTGTGATCAAAAAATTTGTGACTTTAGCATTTCTCTATAGGAATTCAATTGAGCACCTATGGTGTTTCAATCACAAAGTTGATTATTCTTCCCACCTAACCCCCAGTAAACCCCCCTAGTCAGCCCCGTGCCTAGCGTATACCTGCCAATTCCATTACACTAAAGTTTGGTAAAAAAAATTAACCTAAAAGTCAACAAAATTTGGTGTAATGAATTAACGAGGGTGTGTTGGGGACAGGGCAGGCTAGTGAGATTCATGAATTAGTGTAACAAATTTACACCAATAAAATGTGTAAAATTATCCATCCTCTTAATAAATTAATTAATTGCTCTCAATCTCAAATACATTACTGTGTCTAACTTTATTCATTTTTCTCTATTTTCATTAATCATTTGATAGATTAATATATAGTCATGTCATTTCTTGTTTCATATAGTTTTTAAATTAGTCTTTTAATATCGAAATGTTATTATTAAATTCTGCTTCAATTCTCAAATAAATGGAATTGTAAATCATTTTAGTCAAATATTATAAACCGAAATAGATTATTTTTATCGGGATTAAAGGAGAAATTATAACTCTTTGTCACAAAAAATATTTTACAATTTCATTTTTAGATGTCTTTAAGGAAATTACTTTATTTTTATTTTATTTCCTATTTTAGTAACAAATATGCATCTAATTACATTTCCCTTTCGATTCATCTAGGTGCGAGTGGTCGAGAGTG